GGAAGGAGTCCTATCCAATAAACACCCTCACATGAAAAGCTCAGAGGCTCTCAGCCCACCCTGGGTGGGCCCCAGGGTCAGAGCTGGACCCCCTCCAGGAGAGCAGCCATGGCCCCAGCATCCACTCCTGGCCCGGGCAGCTGGGCAGGCAGAAGGAAGGCTGGAGAGTGACCACCGTACACGCGGCACCGGCAACCAGCGCTACAGGTGAGGGCTCCGGCGGTCCAGCAGCTGTGGGCGGGGCGGGGGCCGGTCTGGTCTTGAGGTCTTGTGGCCCCAGGTGGGCAGGGCCAGCCCACTGAGCCAGGTGGTCTCCAGCAGACTGCAGAAGCGGGCCTTCAGCGTGGGGCCAGGCGGGCTGGCACTGGCAGCAGGGGTAGCGGAGGCATCACGGGACTCTTCCGCAGCGGCTGCCGCTGCTTTCTCCGGGCCAGGGCTTGGTGGCTTCCTCCCTGGCTTCCTGACCTTGGGGGCCGGTGACTTCTGAGCCAGGGCAAGTCTCTCTGGCTCATATCTGGCCATGGCGGGCTCTGAGGAGGACACAGCTCCAGCCTCAGTGTCAAAGTCACCTGCAAAACGAACACACAGGCTGCAGACCCTGTGCCCTCAGGTCCCACCCCCTGGCCTCCAGAGCCCCCCAAACAGTGCTTCTGCTCTGCCCCACGTCAGGCTGGCATCACACCTCTTCCCCACACGTGCCTACTGGCCAGACCGTCCAAGCCAAAAAGATGGGCTTCTCCACAGGTGACCCCAGAGCTCTGTCTGATGCGGGCACTGCTCAGGAGGGGCTGTTTGTGTACAAGGATGGGAGGAAAGGGGCTCAGCAGGTCAGGAAGCATTGGCCTGGCCCAATACCCATTGTCCAGATGGGAAAACTGAGGCATGGGAACACAGGGCCCTGCCATACATAGGACAGCCATCATCTTTATGCCAGCCCCAGAGCCAGAACCCAAGCCCCAGCCTGCGCCCAGGCAGGGACTGCCCTAAAAGCCACGCTGGGGAGTGTAGGAACCTGGAAGAAAGGCAGGCTGGAATCACGGTCTAGGGGAACACACAGAAAGGCGGCCCCCAAGGATGGGGAGAGGGAATGAGAACAGGGGCAACACGATTCAGCCAGAGGCAGGAAGCCTGGTCCCAGTCACTTCCTTCCCAGGCCCCCGACTCTTGCAAGCTCCACTCAGAGCAGGCAGGGACTGTGTGGAGCCCAGACTCCACTGCCCACCAGGCAGCCCAGAAGAAACGGACCTGACCTTTTCTGGGCCCCAGACAGCCCAACTGTATGGGCAGAGGACTCAGCTGGGCAGCCCAGCCCTGAGTGATGCCCGACCCTCACTCGGTAACGGAACGCCTGAGCCTGGATTTCCTTTGCATCCCAATAAGGCATCTGCTCCAATTTTTCAAGCCTGTAATCTCAGCTATGCAGGAGACTGTGGCAGAATTGCTTGAACTCAGGAGGCAGGGGTTGCAGTGAGCCAAGACTGTGCTACTGCACTTCCAGCCTGGCGACAGAGTCAGCCTCCATCTCAAAAAAAAAAACAAAAAACAAAAAACAAAAAAAAACAAGGGAAGGAAGGAAGGAAGGAAGGAGAAAAGAAAGTCCAGGGAGGGAGGCCCAGGGGCCACAGAGTGCTAGTTGGCCACTACTCCCATTGTATTGATGGGAAAACTGTGCTGAAGAAAGACAAAGCTCTAAGGCAAGACCAAGGAAGGATGGGGACTGTCCTGGGGCAACAGAGGCCCAGTGACCCATGAGGGGTCATCTGAAGCCTGTCTGCCGGGGCCACGCTGACTGCCTCTACCTCTGCCAGCCAGCATCCTGCTCCTGGAAACTCAGTGGCTTACAAAGGATCAGCCAGCTCAGTCTTGCTACAATTAGGGCAGTGTCACAGGTTTCAGTGACCAGCAAGAAAGAACCAGCCCTGTCCTTGCTTCTGCCTGGAGTGAATGACAGCCACAGGCTGAGCTAGACCAGCACATTCTGGGGCTAGGAAAGGCAAGGCTAGTGTGGGAACCAGTGCCCACTCCCACCAAGGCAGACTCACCAAGCTGGTTCAGCTCCTGGACAGAACCCCACACCTCAGGCCAGCCTACAGAAGACATGGGGGGCCATTAGGACACAGGTGACAGTACCAACAGCAGTGTCCTACGAGAGAAACCTGCTATCCAGGGGTGCAAGCCCCCTTCTCACTCCACAGCAATGCTGTGAGAAGGAATTGTAGGGTTTTGGGGTGTGGAGCCTCCCACCACCACCCTTGGGACACTCTGGGTTAAATGCTGACTTTGGTCTCCCCTCCCCCACATGCTCCTTGGGGCCTGCTGGGTCCCCACCCCCAATCCCACGAGTCCCTCTCTCCTGGGCCTCAGCCCATGCAATACTCTTTGCCCTGGAGACTTCTTGAAGCCCCCACCTGGGACCCAGCCAGCAGACAGGAGGCCACCTGGGACCCTCGGGAGTCTTTGTGGGAGGGGTGGGGGCTCCATGGAGCCCACAGAGAACTCTTAGGAGTGTGGGAGTGATTTTATCTCCTGCCAGTAGGAGGTGGAGAGCCCAGGATACACTCCCTCAAGGGAGGCTGCTCCTCCATTCAAAACAGTTGCCAAAATGTAGGTGCCTCCTTCCCTGACCCGTACTGAGGCAACCAGGCTCTGAGACAGGGCACGTGCTCAGGGAGCAGGCTCAGGTCATCCTGGAGAAGCAGCTCTGCTGATCCTCCCTGCCAAGCTCCAACCTCACTCAGCACCCAGGCCAGGGTCTCGGAGGAGAGCCCACCACCGCAGCACCACCCCTGCCTCAGGCAGTGGGAAAGGAACAGCTTTGTGTCTCCGTTCCCGCTTTCACCTTCCAGGGACCTCGGGATGGCCGATGGGAAAGACCAGGAAGATCCCGATTCTGCCCAATTGTGGCCGGCATCTGGATGCTCCGGGAGGGCTGGATCGGGAGGGTTCTTCCACCTCCCACCTTCCCTACCTGAGGCTCGGGGCTTTCCAGACGCTACAACCCAACCTGGGGCAGCCCAAAGTCTCCACTGCAGGGGAAGGTGAACGGATGAGTCTCTATCCCCTCTCCTACCCGCCCTGAGCATGACTCTGGTGCCTGGGGCCCACGGCCGACTTGGCTTTGAGACTGCAGCGGCACCCGACCTGGCGGGTTTCCGGGTGTCCCCAAGCCCCTCCCGGCGGCGCTGAGACGCACGTGCATCCAGCAGGCTGACACACAGGCCGCCGCCACGCATGCAAACCCGTGCCTGCAGGTCCGTGCATGGCGCACATCTGCACACACGCCATTCCAGAACCGCGTTCTCCCCTTGCTCGGCCCCGGCACACGTGTGCATGCAGGAAAGCCCGCGCACCCAGCCGGCCCCACACCGACGCCCGCAGACCGGCGGGAGGTCCCGGAGCAGGGGCGGCCTGGCCGCGGGGTCCTGGCAGCCTCCGCCTCAGGGCGATCCCGCCAGCCTGGGCTGAGGCCGGAGGGTGAGTCAAGACCTCGGCCTTTCCAAGTGCTGGGACAGCCCTGAGCCGTTGTGCCCCTCTCTCCTCCTCCTCCTCTCCTCCTCCTCCTCCTCCTCCCTTTCTTCTTCTTCTTCTTTTTTTTTTTTTATTTTTTAAGATAAGGCCTCGCTCTGTTACCCAGGCGGGAATGCAATGGCGTGGTCACGGCTTGCTGCGGCCTCAACCTCCTGGGCTGAAGCGATCCTCCCAAACTCAGCCTCTCGAATAGCTGGGACCACAGGTGCACACCACCACACCTGGCGAATTTTTGGTAGAGATGGGGTTTTGCCATGTGCTCAGTCTGGTCTTGAACTCCAGAATTCAAGTGATCTGCCCTCTTTGGCCTCCCGAAGTGCTGGGTTACAGGTGGGAGCCACTGTGCACAGACCGTTTTTGTTTCTTTCTGGTTTTTTTT